TGTAATGGAAGCCCAAACACAAGGACGACCCAGACCCTTATCACCAGGGTCCCAGAAATGCCCCACCCACCTACCCTGCTGCCAGGTCCTAAAGAAGGGGTGACACCCTCAAAACGACTTGTTGAAAGATTGAAATGCAATCCAAGCTACAAAGATGAGAACTCGAGCTAGATGTTCCAAGCGGACTGAACCGACCCAAGTTTAAGGAACCCAAAGAGAGGCAAGCTGCGAATTCAACAAGACAAAGTGTTTGACCACTGGACCCCCTGCCAAGAGACGAATTGGTTTTGAATCTGAGTGACATGGAAACCAAAAAAAATGCGCAAGTTGCTGAAAAGGCCAGTTCTATCTGGCAGCGATACACGTGATATTTGACGCGACCGCTGCAAGGGCCGGGTATCCGTGCTCGATCCAACTCGCGACCCGCGGCTTACACGTGTCCGTCACTGACATGTGGGTGTGTCTCAAAATGACGGACCCCGCACAATGCGCCGTGTCTTTAAAGTAAATCAAAAAGGGCACCCCATATAGTAGTCGCTTGGACCTACTGCATTACCAGAATGTACTAGCACTGTTGTCAAAAGATGCCAGGCTAGCAGCTCTGGAGATGGCTGAGACCCTTAGCTGGGGATGCATCCCACTCTGATTTCCGCCTGAAAAAGGGTTTGGTGGGAAACCGAAGAGAAACCAAAGCCCATGTTGCGGCAATTTCAGGACACACAGGCCAACCCCAAGAATGAGCCCGGTGTCCTTTGGATTCCTTTCAAAACAACCCGCAAAACAGGGCACCCTCATGGAAGATCCGCCTTTCTACGACCAAAAGGGCCCAAACACCTATGACTACTTTGCACTTCCGGGCTTATCACAGAAAATAGGTCTGAAACCCCTAAAGAAACCCAAAAAATGATTTTTTGGCGGCTCTGAACGCCCCTGGGCCATAGCCAGCGCTCAGCCCCTGGCGCTGGTCCACGTAGGGCGGCCGCGCGATGTCCTGCGGCACCGGCCGCACCCGCTGCACCCGGCCCGGCCTGCGCGCTTGGAATTGGTCGCAGCTGGGGCCAAGCCCCAGCTCAAAGCCACGAACACGGCACCTCCTAAGAACCCCCGGGTTTCTGAAGATATTTTTTGCAAATAAATAGATTCCAACGAATGGTTTCAACCATTCTGAAATGCAGGATTTCGTAGGAGTCCTTTCAGGGGAAATAGAGGGGGTTCCCTGGTAGATGATTAAACCACCAGGTAAGCCAGGAATCGCCACCGATTTGTCGACCAGAACAACCAAGACACCTATGCTCACAGGGGCTTCCTTGACGAGGAAACTGATCTTCCAGGTACCCTCGAGGTGCGATTTGTTCGTATGAGGGCTATTGGTTCAACAAGCTCCTTGCTCCAGGGGCCAGCTTGGAACAATGTCCCGAAATTTGGCATGCAACTTGAGGAAATGTGAATCTCTTTTTTACGCTCTATGCCTTTTTCTCAGAGGCAGCAGGGGGTTGTATCCTTTGAATTTAGGCATCAAAATCGGGAGCCCCTCTTGTGCTTGGTTCGAACTGACACTCCATCACGAGGCACCTACGCCACTTCCCGACTGGCGAGAAAACAACCCGGGTAGCCTCAAATAGAGACCTCCCCAATCCAAACGGCCCGCCCTCAACAGATGCGGACACCCATACACCAATTCAGAGATGTGGATATTCCTTAGAGATGGTATTCTCAGACACGACATCAACTGACCAAGGGGATCTTTTTTTGGCAAGCGGCCGCCTGAAAGCTGTGGAAAAACCGAGCTCGGCAGCTTGGGCGTGTGACCAAGAAACGGCAAGGTCATTGCAGGCCAATGCTTCCCGAGTGAGGCCTTGGGGGTACAAGAGCTTCGCACTCTTCTCTGGCTGGAACCAAACGATGCTTAAAGAATCACCTCATCGTGCCATGACGAACAACTAAGGCTTGGTTGCCAAAGGCTCGGCTCTCAATTTCCGAACAGCAACTAGGGGGGCACAAACCCATCTTCGAAAGAGTCTTGGAGGATAAGGGCATTGAGCCCCGCGTAGTGCACAAAAAGAAACAAAGGGCTGGGGATCGACCCAAACAACCATTTGATGCGAAGGTGGGACGTGGGAAGCCAAGCCAAGATTGGGGGCCCCGCAACGGTGGTCCTTTTCGTTTCCCAACCAACCCCAAAAAAAAAAGATTTCTGCACACTGCTGGCCGGATGTGGGGCAAACTGCCAGCGTGCTTCTGCCACGGAAATGACCTCTTTGCGACAGCTGCGCTTGCATCTTCTTGGCCAACGCGCTCTTGGGGTCATCAATTTCATGAACTGGCCCTTTTGCGAACCTTTCGCGAGTACATAAATCATTGACCAGTTTCGGGATTCCTTTGGCGGCCTGGAAAAAACAACATTTTGCCTCACGAATACGATTTCTAGGGGCTTTAGAACGCCGCTCACCTGCGTATGTGTATGTCGTGTATGTGTGAGTGAAATGAACATGTTTTTGTGGTTGGCGCCCGATCCCCTGCCACGCATCCCTCAAATCCTCCAATGAACGCGCGCTGTCGAGCGCGGCGATCACATTGGATCCGATCACGATGCATGAGGCCGTCGGGCCATCGCTTCGCTTGCCGCCCGGCCGCGGCCGGCCGTCTCAAGCTCCAGTGGGCCTAACGACCGAAGGGAGCGGGAGGCTGGGACATGCCGGCATGCACATTGGTCCAGCCGGGCGCGTTCTGCCCACCAGACTCGACCAATACAAGACATAGAAACATCAGCTTTGCCAAGTTAAGATTTCGGGTAGCGTTTGTTTTGCCATTTTTCCAAACCTTTTGTAGGAGCCGTGACAGGATGTCTTCTGCACACACATACGGGAAATTGCAGAATGCTGAGCAGCTCGCAAATAAAACTCGCCATGCCACCCCACCCGTCCTTGTCAGTCAAGTGCGCTTGGCAAGAACATTCAAATGCCACCAGTCCGCTGTCATCAAACCGCTCAAGCGCATGAGCCCTGAAAGATATGGGTGTGAACAACTTCTCTGAAGTTTACTCTCCCTGCCACTAGCATGGCATCTGACATCCCTTGAAGAGGAAGATGATTCTTCCTGCTGGAGGTACGAGTGGATTGACGAACCAGCCGGAAGAAACGAATCCCTACTAATGACAATCAAATGCAGGGTCCGTTCATCCGTATGTTCTGACCGAACACCCCCAGAGGGAAGCCCTTCAAGAAAACTGGGTTGGTCCAAAGATGTGACAGCACTGGGCCACTCGCGCCAACGGCTCACAACACTCCCCCCATCCGATCGCCTCATCCAAGAGTGGCATAGCCCACGCTGGCCTGCATCAAATCATCAGGGCTTCCTTCTGCAACCCGTGAACACCAAATAGAAACCGAAGGGAACTCAAAGGGCACTCAGAGAAAAGCAAAAAGAAAACCAAAGGCAAACCAAAGGGAAAGCTAAAAGCCGCTTTCTTGTTTTCTGGGCTTGGGGGCGGGGGTCCCATGGTGGACAAAGACATATTTCCCTCAACATCACAAGCCCAAACCCTCCTAAGCACAAAGGGACCCCCCACCTTCAAAACCCGCGCAGAAACAAGCCCAAAGGCCGGACCAAGCCCAAATGTCAAGGTCGGAAAACATACATACACCCTGTGGGGTGGCAACAACTCGTGGTTGCGGATTCGCCTCTGGACAGTAGAAAAGCAGCAGTCTCTTGGTGTTTAAATAGCGTGGACTGAAATAGGATCTCCCAAGTAGATTCCATACGCATGATTAGATTGACATTGACCAAAAAAAGTGTTTCACCCGCAGACTTCAGGTAAGTACAACTTGGTGTCACTCGTACACGAACAAATTAGATTGTCACGAAACCCCAGTTAGTGTGCTTGCTTTAAGGGCTCTCGTTCCAGAGTATACCTTCACACAACAGCGGACAAGTATCTAGCGATGTCTTCGAAATAAATTGAAGAGGTTGTGAACAAGAGGCTGTTCCTCTTTCACAAGAATCAGATTGTTGATCAGTAGAGTCAGAGACTGGAAATTGGGGAAGGGGTTCTCCAAAAGGAATGTTCATCTCATGGGGCGTTGTTGCGCAGGAAGGATTCAAGCAAACTGATCCTCCCTCTGTGGCCTCCTCATCCGGGGTCTCCCACTCGCTGTGCCAGTGCTCGCCGTGCCAACCACCGCCATCCCAATAATTTCCAGTTTGCTCCCAGTGCTGCCAATCGCCCTCTTCTTGCTCCAGCGGATCATCCTCCGTGAATAGCCCCAGAATGGGTTGTGCTTCTTGGGGTACCCGGTACCCATAACTTGGGGTTTGTTTGAAAGGGAAACATGAGGAACACCTACCATTGGAGGTTCCCCACATTCTGATACATACCATGTCCCAAACCATGTCCTCCTCGTCCTCGTCCTCGGCTCCGTCTTCTTCTTCAGACGGTGCCTCCCCCGCGAGGAAGCTCAGCTTCTTCGCTAAAAGCTTCCTGGGTTTTGAGCTTGGAATTCAGCTGGAGTTCTGCCGAGGGGAAGACGAGAAAAACAACGCGGCCGCGGCTCACGGGTTCACGCAAAGGACTCCATTTTGGATAGGGTTTCGCTGCAGCCCCGAAGAAGATACACGAATACTCGCCCGACTCTGTGCTCAATAGGCTGTCGCGCTGGTCCATTGGCATTCCGCAGGGAAGTGACAAGAATGCAAGAGCCATCAGCATTTCCCTACCCTTCTCCCCCCCACCAGAAGATGACTTGATTGTTGCGTTTGCCCGGGGAATCTTCAAGCCGACGCACTAGGGATAAATGCTTCCCCTCATGAGTTGGTTGATTGTTTCTTTGCTTGTTTCGCTGGTTGCTTGCGTGTTTGTCTGATTGTTTCTGTCTGCCTGTGTTTGTGTGTTTGTGCACGTGCGCATAAGCGGCGGTGCGCGTGCAGGTGCGGGCAAGGTACAGGTGCAGCGCGGGTGCGGGTGCAGGTGCGGGCGCGGGTGCGGGCGTGCGGACGTGCATGCG